TAAAGCGACGTTGTAAATTTTGGAAGAACGGACTTTACTGGTTTAATGGTCATGGTGTAGGATCACTGGTAGAGATTGTGGATGAGAGCCAGTGTGTACTAGTAATGATGTCCTGTGAGAAAGGTTACAGTGACAATATGGTGTCTCTAAGAAGAGATGTGCTAGGAGAGGTAATGAGTGTTTATAAAGAATCCTGTCCCAGTCTAGAAATAAAAGAATTAGTTATTGATCCTAAAGAACTAGCCTATCCTGTGAATACACCAAGAGAAAGGACAGTGTATAGTGTAAAAGATATACTTTCTGCTATTGACAAGAGAGAAGAGTTTTTAGTAAAGTGTGATGGTACTAAAGGTGAAAAGGTGAAGGAGATCCTACCTGAAGAATCATTATCAGATATTAGTAACCTGTCACTATTAGGAGGACGTGATATTAATGTAAGAATTAACACACACAAACTGTTTGATACATTAATACAAGCACTAATAATCAAAAGGTCATATCTTAAAAGTAATTTTATTTGTTATCAAATTACTCAGTACTAGTCATAATTGTGGGTTGTCATTGTGTGGCTTTTTGTACACCTGTTAAACTCACCTTTTGATCAGCAATACACTACTGATATACCATTGAGTATGAAATTTTCATTTATTTTAGCTTGAATGGCCTATAATGAAAGTTGAATGCCACAATGAATTTTAAGATACAGTACAATAGAAAAACAACATGTGATTTTTCTTACCTGTCATCAGGCTATGTATCATTGTGTGTGTAGGGAGATGGAGGAGTAAAGTGTAATAATAATAAAGATAAAGGAACAACAACCAACACTTTGAATGAATCTCAGGAACATGGAAGTACTTCAATAGAGAAAAGACAGTCTGGTAAGATATGTACACATCATCCATTAACAAACATTATTATAATTATTGTACATTGAACTATACAAACATTATGTGTATGTATCAAGTATTATTGGTATTTAATATAATGTATAGATATTGATGTAGTTAAGATCAATGATGAAGTACAAGAAACACTCACTGATAAACTGCTTGGTAAGACTAAGAGAGTATGTATAATTAACTAGCTATTGATTTAACAAAATTAAGTCTTAAATTGATTATGAATATTATTTTAAGCCTCATGAAATCATTAAAATTCAGAAATGGTCCATTTCTCCATAGATATCTAGATTTTATGAATTTCCCTCCCTAGACCCTAAAATAGGCCTGTTTCTCCCCCAATCTAGAGAAAATTCCCTAGGGTTGGAGGCCTTGATGGTATGGGCAAGTAGCTTGATTTCCCACGAAAGGAAGTTTCCTATCCCTGTAACTCTAATATCTATGATTCTACATTCTTTCTAGTTATTATTATTATTATTTGTGAA